AAATATTAGGTAAACTATAGTGAGAGGTAATTAAAATGGCAAACCATCCTGAAGGTGTAGGTGAAACACAGTTTATAGTCCAGGAAGCACAGGGTTAGGAGTTCAGGTTAACTCCAGATGTGAGTTTGGCAATTCATATACATAGTCAACCTCAGCTTCTTCTATAAAATAGTTATTATCATTGAGTTTTACTTATTTCTTATAAACATTAAATGAAGCCATATTCAAGCATGAAAGTGATTTGTACACCGTAAGAATCTATAGAAACAAATTGCATTATTAAGTATGGTTAGAAAGGAGACTGGTCAAACTTTAATCCTTGATATGCTGTGGCGCCTCCAAATTTTACAGCAGTGTAAATGTAAACAGAAGTGGAGGAGGCTGGGAAAGGTAGGGCTTAAGAACAGGGGACTTAGAGGTTTAAAATTAATTCAGTATTGTATTCTGGCTCTTCATTATTTCAGAGTATCACCTGAAAATGGGTATAATTTTAATGCCTACCTCATAAGAATATGTCCGAGAATTAAGCAACACATATAAAGCTTCTGGCACATATATGCTCTGACTACAATAGCAATGATTATTATTACTATTATTATTATTAAATAGGGCAAGTTGAACTAGAATTAGTCCCAACATGCCTTTCAAGTTTCTAATAATTCTGGCAGATTAAATAAAAAGTAGAAAATACAGAGAGAACTCTGACACAAAGCAGTTCTAGAAATCTCTCTCATTAAAACCCTTAAAACAAGCAAACATTCCTAACAGGAGTTCTTTTTGAAACTGACAGCAAAAAAAATGACCCCATGTAACCATCCTGGGGAAAAAAAGGAGCATAACGTGCTACGGTCATCTTTCTGTGATTCATCCTAGCAAGGGTCTGGGAGTCCAGTCTTTGGTTAGAAATTGACAAGAGTATGAAGCCATGAGGTTTGTCACCAAGGAGCTTTGGAAGAAAAAGTGGATGCGAAGAGTCCACAAATATGCCGTATTTCCCAAGCAAGCTTCTAAGTCTAGAGATCACATGTGAATTTTTAACTTAAGAACCATGTCATCTCTGCAGAACTAAAGACCGTGTTCACATCACACGTACTTATAGAGTTACTCCTGAGTCCCTGATTCTAGAATTCGACCATGGTCACTGACTCACTTATTACTAACTATAAATCACTTGAATGTTTAGCTACTGGATATGGGACATTCCCAATGTTTGGCTGAGTGAGGCAGCTGCAGCTTTGTGGCTAAACATTCAGGCTGGAGAGCCAGGTGCCTGGGTCTGAATCAACTTCGTCTTCTCTACTTACAAGCTGGCAATGACCTGTGGTGAGTCACTTACCTTTATGTGCCTAACCTGTAAAATGAAAATGACACAAACATTTTCCTTTTAGGTTTTTTGGTGTTTTGGGTGAGGTTTAAATGAGTCAATATTTGTAAAATGCTTATAGTTGTATTGCCACAGGGTAAACCCCATTGTCATTATAAAAAGTTATTTCCTTAAACAAGCAATCCTCAAAATTTGATGCATGGGAATCATCTGGAAGGCTTGTTAACACACAGACGCCAGGCCTTATCCCTGCAGTTTCTGATTCTGTGGGTCTGGGATGGAGCCTGAGAATTTGTGTTTTTTAACAAGGTCCAGTATAATGCCGATGCTGCTGAGCCCAGAACCACACCCTGAGAATCACTGCTCAAACGTTCATTTCAAATTTTCATCAAAAGTTTAAATGCAGTGTAACTAAAGTGAAAAGGGTCATTTTAGTTATACTAAGTGTTTATGAGTCAAGATATTGGGGGCCCTGTCTCCAATGCAGGCACTATTAAGTGAGGTCTGAGTTGCTAGAAGCGATTCTGGAGGCTATCTTCATGGATGGCAGGGGTGGAGATGAGAGAGGGGGATGCAACCCAAACAGAAAAAAAAAGAAAAAAAGAAAAAGTATTTAAGCCCAGTGCTCTGGTAATCCTGCTCACAGGAGAGATTTCTCCAGTTGGGTCAAACAGAAAATTCAAACTGCAGGTATCATAGGTTATCATGGCTACCTCTCAGCCTTCAGACAGAACTTTGATGAACCTCAGAATTGAGAACAGCTCGTGGTGATTCAAGCAAGTCCTTAAACCAAAAGATTTACCCACTACCTGTCAACAGGTGGAGGAGGTAAACGTGGGAGTAAAGGCCCCGCGGCTGAAACTGACCTGCCCACCAGCCAGAACGCGCCTGAGAAATACAGGGAATTAGAGAAAGAGGAGGAAATAAGACAGAAGGCGAGCAGACATCCGCGCGTTCTGAACAATGAAGAGGAGTCTAGTGGTCGTTTATAATCCGCGTGCGATGGAGCCTCGGCGCAGTCCCCAGACACATAAATCAACGTTGCCCCGCCTCGCCTTCCCTCCCTCAGCTCTGGGCGGTCCCTGCGCCCCGGGCAGCTGAGCCCAGGACACGCCGGCGGCGGGAGCCCATTGGTCACCTGCGCAGAGAGGTGAGCGGCTCTGGCAGTCCTTTCCGGGGAAGGGGACAGGACCCATGCCCGGGCCAGAGGCAGCGGGGAGGGGGCTTGGCGTGGGAATGCAGCTAGTCCTGGGGCCCGAGCCAGGGCAGGGCCAGCAGAGCACGCGCCGAAGAGGGGGGAGGATTACAACAAAAATGAGAAGGTCGCTTCTTTGGTGAGTGATGCCAAGCAAAAGACAAACTCTGAGCAAAGATTCACCGGTAGGTGGAGACCCTTATTGTGGGCACTTCTGACAGATTTGCCCAAAAAGGATACGGGAGGATAAGCTCCTGGGACTTGGGGGCAGAAGGGAGTGATATTAACACATATATTTAAATGACAACTTTAGGGGGAATTTAAGCACACCGTTGAGGGAGGAGAAAGGACATTTTAAAACCTCCACTTTGCTTTCTGTTTCTGTAGCAACAGTTATAAAGGCACACTGCTGATTCATGTGAGCTCCGGTTATCTAGCTACGGCTCAGGGAGTGCCTCCAGGTCTCTCTCCAGAGTAATACCCCTGAGCTGCAAGCCAGAAAGACCAAGCCACTGGCTTCACTTTGAAGCAGAGAACTTTTCCTTACTCAGGTTTGGATACGATCTTCCATTTCTTGGGAAGATTTTCAGTCTCTGCCTATGTCAGGAGAGGATTTAGGACCAGGACAGAAGAGCTCAGGTATTGTCAATTTCTATCTATTTCATTATACACATTTTCAGGTTTAAGTCTGTGGGAATCCACTATCCACGTGTTCTTTTAGACTTTTGATTCTCTTTTCAGTAACTCTCAAGTGAGCATACCCGTAACTTCTATTCTTCTAGCTGGATGAGAGAACTACCTGCATCCTATTGTTTCTTTCTTTGCTTACCTAATGATAAGAAGGTGGAAATGCTGTCTCCAATCATACGACATTTATTTAAAATGTTTGTAACCAGACGGTTACGTTGACAAAATTTGTCATGTGATTAATCCTACAGTAAATTTTAATTTGGGCTATATTCTAATAATTCCATTATCTTTCTGTCTATGTGGAGATACAAGCGATTCCGCATTCATGTTATTTTAAATGTGGTTTATAGCTAAAGGATGGTTGCTGGTAGAATCTAAAAGAAACCATTCTATGAAGGTCACTTTTCTTAGAGAAGCATAATAAAGACGTTATTACAATCTTTGTATATTCTGAATTTCAGGCAAAAACTAGGTTTGGATCCTTGGGCTTCACCCACATGTGGGTAACAGATACCATTTTTCCAACAAGCTGAGCATATTTCTTCCCTGGTTATGCTCCCCCACCCCCATGGCAGACGTGAGGACGAGGAGAAGGGACCAAGAAAAGAGGCAGAGGGATGTTCTAAGCAGAGCAAAAGCAGACAGCATAATGCCTGCAAGGGGTCAGTGTGGCCCACTGCGGCGCAGGTGCAAGGCTCAAGCCCTCTCAGCCGGTCAGTTATGATTACTTACGGTCATCATTTGGCAGTGACATGTACAACATGTCTTTTTTGTCAAGGTCTTGAGGACATGTTAGAAAGAGATTTATTCGTCCTTTCAGTGGATTATTACGGCTCTTAAAAATGTTTTTGAAGAAGGTTTAATAAAATGAAAAAACAAACGTTCAATGATAAAAATGTGTTATGAAATTTCATTTGATCATATATATATATATATATATATATATATGCAGTAACATCCAACCCAATATGTAAAAGGCTGGAAGGAGTACGGCAAAATGTTATTGATTATATCTGGGTGGTGGGAAGTATGAGTGATTTTATTTTCTTTTTTCTACTTATTTACAGCTTCTAAATTTTCTGTTGCACATGTATTAGTTTTTTTTTTTGTTTTTTTTGTTTTTTTTTTTTTTTGGTACGCGGGCCTCTCACTGTTGTGGCCTCTCCCATTTTGGGGCCCCAGCAGGCACAGCTATTTGCTTGAGGGTGTTTAATAAGTGTTTTATGATGAAGGTGGTGATACAGGAAAATCTTTTTTTTTTTTTTTTTTTTTTTTTTTGGTCCGCGGGCCTCTCACTGTTGTGGCCTCTCCCATTGTGGAGCACAGGCTCCGGCGCGCAGGCTCAGCGGCCATGGCTCACGGGCCCAGCCGCTCCGCGGCATGTGGGATCTTCCCGGACCGGGGCACGAACCCTGTATTAGTTTTATAATCAGTTTTTTTAAAGTCTAAAAAACTAAAGCATAAACAGGAAACTAAGCCTTCTGTACTTCAGTTGTCACAACATCTCCATTATGGTTTCCACTTTCCTTTTTTAATGAATCTCTAAGTAATAGGGATTGCTGCTTTTCATTAAGAAGTGAAATAATATATCCTGCTTGATCACAAGGACCCATATGAGGCCAGCACACACTATGGCCTTGTAAAGAGTAAGCTTTACCATAAAAGTTGTGAATGAAATTGGCCCCTTACGACCTTTTAGGAAGGTCTCCCAGATTACCAGTTACTGTGTGTGGTCTAGTGGAACTTTGCTCAAACCATATTTATAACTCCGAGGTATGATGTTTTTTCAGGATGAAGGTGAAAAGCAGGGGAAGCACCAGCTTACTGGTCTCCTTCGCGGCAGTCTGCCTGGTGGTCTTCCCCGGGGGCAGGGCCTGTCCTCGCCGCTGTGCCTGTTACGTGCCTACAGAGGTGCACTGCACGTTTCGGTACCTGACCTCCATCCCACACAGCATCCCGCCCAACGTGGAACGTATCAATCTAGGGTGCGCGGGGGCTCTTGTCTTGCTTCCTTCTCAAGGAGGGATTGATTACACTGCTGACTTGTCCTCAAAACACTTGTGACTTTGGGAGATTAACCACAATTCTTTTAACAATATTTCTCTTCGGAAATGAATACATGAGGATCTTAAGCTTGCTGGGGCAATAAAAAATTTTTTTCTGTTAAACTTTTACTAAGAGAAGGTTCTTCTAGAACCCATAGTCACTCATGGTAGGCTGAGAGGCCCATGATTATAGAAAAGCTGCATTCTGGCTACATTTTTGCTGGATAATAATACAGCTTTTGTTAAGAATTAGCGTTATGATATATCAGTAAGAGGTAACAGGACAACTGGAAGCGTCCTCTTATACATAAAAGATATATATGAAAACTCAACTAGATCGTTTTTTAAGGCCCTTGGATTTTTTCTCCACAGAAACCGACTTATTTTAAAAGGCTTTAAAAATGCGTAAATTAAATTTGCTAAAAGGCAACTGTATTTTAAAAGTTGATGAAAAACTGTGTGGGTGAATGCATATACAAGCAGACTTAACATCATTTAGTTGACATTAGTGGGCGCCTACTATGGGCCAAACACAATGATGGTACCAGGGATACAATGATGAACAAGATATATTATTCATTTCTAGAAACCATGGTTAAAGGGAGAAGACAGTTGTATAATTAGTACAATTTAATAAGAACTATAATAGAGCATACGAAGTGCCTTGGGAACAATCACTAATAATAATAGCTAACATTGTGTCCTGGCATTGAGCTAAGCACTCTTCATGTATGCATTCATTTAATCCTCATAACCCGTTTGAAGTAGGTTCTATTATTTGCATTTTATAGACAAGGAAACTGAGGCACAGAAAGGTTACTGATTTAACCCAGGGTCAGCCCTACTCCCAGGTACCTGACTTGATAATCATACCCAAAACATTTGGCTTCAGAGCCCAGGTTTCTTAACCATTACTTCATAATGATGAATTACACCTGGGAGAACAAGGGGGCCATGTTATTAGAGAATGGGCTGGGTCTTAACAGTGTTCACAAATAGGGCTAGAGTCAAAGGCATTCCAACCTGCAGGAACAGCATATGTACAAAGGTTTGAAAATGAGAAGGGATGTGGCATTTTCCAGGAATCTGAGTAGGATAATTGTAACTGAGACTGCAAGGGATGGGTTGGAGGGGCTGACCTTCTGTGGCATCTGATGAATTTCAACAATATTTCAAGCATTGGATTATCTCCTTAGAGCACAAGAAATAAAAAGGGGGCGGGGAGTGAAATTCATTTCTATGTGTGTGTGTTTGTTGGGTTTTGCTTTGACATTTGAACTTTGGTTGACAGACTTAGCTTATGCCTAGAATGATGTTTTTATTTCAGGTACAACAGTTTGGTTAGATTGACAGAAACGGATTTTTCTGGCCTAAACAAGTTGGAGTTACTAATGCTACACAGCAATGGGATTCACACAATCCCTCCTAAGACCTTCTCAGATTTGCAGGCCTTGCAGGTGAGACTGATGTGGGGAAGGGGCAGGTTAATAAGGTGAGATGTGCCTCCAAAAGCTACCTGTTCCTAGAGAACCCCCAAATCAACACTCTGTAAATTAGAGGTAGACATCAAGGGAAAATGTCCAATAACTGATTTCTTTTTAAATGCAACTGTATGTGGAAATTAGAATAATAAGAAAACTCTGATTTTCTCATACCTCAGGCTCATAGAAAGAAAAAAATTATCAATGCCCAAGGATTACTAAACCTTTAAAATTTAATCCTAAAAGGCCACTTCTAGTCATGTTCATCTGGGAATTGAATATAGTTTCTAAAAATAATTGCTGTCTTTACATAGAAGTTAGCTTTCTATAGAGCAATATACTTTTAAGTTTCACTTTACTTATGCACTGCCTTATTCAAAAACTTTTTTACAGTTACAGGGACTTCCAAGAATGCATCGAATATTGTAAGAATTACCACTCCAGTAGGAAAGAAAGCAAAAGGTACAAGAAGTCTTAGGAACAAGAACAAAGGGAATGCAGGGAACTGCAGGCATAAAGATCAGTATGTCTGCTGTAAGTAGGACTTTTGAGAAGCTAACTCAATTTTTCAGTAAATTAAAAAATAAAACTACTGTTCAGGAAAAGTAAAACCATATCTGATTTTAAATTAGAAAAAAAAAAATGTTTCCCAAAGCTCCTCATAGAAGAGATACAGTGCAATAAAATAAAGTCAGTTCTATCCTTAGAAAAGGTAAAATGCCAGTGTGCAGTGTGAGCCTTTTTACATCACACTGAGCCTCTGTAGAACCATAGATTTAAGTCTAGATATGTGATTCTGTTGGTTTGGCTTAATCAGGCTTTATTTGGAATATATATCTTCAGAGGATTAGATGGAATACATTTCATTCATGGAATTCACACATATTTGTTTTCTTGAGCAGGTTTTCCATAGATATTGATGAACATTGAGTTGGATAATATTTGGGGCAAAGCTGTTCCATGTTGTCAATTTCAATTTTCTTTGCTTATTAGGGAACTTGGCATTCCAGAAAAACATTCTCAACAGAGATGACAGATTAGGTCAAATTAGAATAATATGATGATAAATCATTGTTTTTGCTAGCATTTCTTTTTCTTTTCTTTTTGGGAGAAGGAGCGTGTTCTGTTGGTAACTGGAGAAGGAACTGGAGAATACCCACACACTACTGAAATGTTGAAAATTTTAAATTTCAATTCAAAATCAATTCAAAATCATATTACTCATAATAGCTAAAAAATAAAAAGCACCCAAATGTCCATTGACTCACAAATGGATAAACAAAATATATTACATGTATACAGTGGAATACAGCTCAGTAATAAGAAGGCATGAAGGACCAATATGTGCTACAACAGGGGTGGGTCTTGGAAATATTATGCTAATTGGAAAAAGCCAGGCACAAAAGACCACATATTGTATCATCCATTATTTAAAATGTTGACAATAGGCAAATCCACAGAAACAAAGTAAATTAGTGGTTTTCTAGGGCTAGGAGGAAACGGGGGAATGACTGCTAATGGGTATCAGTTTTTATTTTGGGGTGATGAAAATGTTCTAAAATTAGATAGTGGAGATGGTTGCACAACCTTGTGAATATACTAAAAGCCACTGAACTGTACGGTTTAAAAAGGTGGATTTTGGGGACTTCCCTGGCGGTCCAGTGGTTAAGACTTGACCTTGCAATGCAGGGAGTGGTGCGGGTTTGATCCCTGGTCAGGGAGCTAAGAGCCCACATGCCTTGTGGCCAAAAAACCAAGACAAAAAACAGAAGCAATATTGTAACAAATTCAATAAAGACTTTAAAAATGGTCCACATTAAAAAAAAATCTTAAAAAAAATAAATAAAAAGGTGGATTTTTATGGCATGTGAATTATATCTCAGTAAAGCCATTTTATTTATTTATTTTAAAATTTATTTATTTATTTATTTTTGGCTGCGTTGGGTCTTTGTTGCAGTGCACAGGCTTCTCATTGTGGTGGCTTCTCTTACTGCGGAGCATGGGCTCTAGGTGCATGGGCTTCAGTAGTTGTGGCTCACGGGCTCTAGAGCACAGGTTCAGTAGTTGTGGCGCACGGGCTTAGTTGCTCCGCAGCATGTGGGATCTTCCTGGACCAGGAATCGAACCCATGTCCCCTGCATTGGCAGGCAGATTCTTAACCACTGCGCCACCAGGGAAGTCCAAAGGCATTTTAAGTGTGAAAGATAAAATCATATTCCTTATGAAAAATTCAGGTTCAAGAAATCTTAAGTTTACTTGAAATGTCAAGATACTTTTGTATATGGTTGAAAATTTCCATAATACATTTTTTAAAAAGTATACCATATACAAAAATAGAATAATATAATGATCCCCAATGCAGCATCACCCAGCTTCAGTAGTTATCAACACATAACAGATCTTGTTTCACCTGTACCTCCACCCACTACTTTTCTACTTCATTGCATTGTTTTGAAACAAATCTGATATATCGTAATGTTTCATCTATAAGTACTTCAATACATATGTCAAAGTTATGGAATCTTTTAAAATGAACCATAATATCAGTATTATACCTTAAAATTATAGCAGTAATTCCTCAATATCAGAAACTGTTCATGAATATTCTAATTTCCCTGATGTTCTCATACTTGATTTGCAACTGGTTTGTTTGAATTAGGATCCAAACAAGGTACACACGCTGCATTGGATTAATCTCAACGTATGTTTTACTATGGATATGATTTTCCTTTTTGTGATAATTCCTTTGACAAAATAAGTGTGTTCTTTTTACTCTTAGGTCTTAAAAATGAGCTATAACAAAGTTCGAAAACTTCAGAAGGACACTTTCTATGGTCTCAGAAGCTTGACACGGTTGCATATGGACCACAACAATATCGAGTTTATAAACCCAGAGGTTTTTTATGGACTCACCTCTCTCCGACTGGTGCACTTGGAAGGGAACCAGCTCACTAAGCTTCATCCAGATACATTTGTCTCCTTGTGCTACCTCCGGATATTTAAAACATCTTTCATTAAGTATCTATACTTGTCTGATAACTTTCTGAGCTCCATCCCTCAAGAGATGGTCACCTATATGCCTGATCTGGAAAGCCTTTATCTTCATGGGAATCCCTGGACCTGTGATTGTCATTTGAAATGGTTGTCTGACTGGATACGGGAGAAGCCAGGTACCTGGACTGTTTCTTTTTTTTTTTTTTTTTTTTTTTTCTTTATTGGAGTATAATTGTTTTACAATGGTGTGTTAGTTTCTGCTTTATAACAAAGTGAATCAGTTATACATATACATATTTTCCCATATCTCTTCCCTCTTGCGTCTCCCTGCCTCCCACCCTCCCTATCCCACCCCTCCAGGCAGTCACAAAGCACTGAGCTAATCTCCCTGTGCTATGCAGCTGCTTCCCACTAGCTATGTATTTTACGTTTGGTAGTGTATATATGACCATGCCTCTCTCTCGCTTTGTCACAGCTTACCCCTCCCCCTCCCCATATCCTCAAGTCCATTCTCTAGTAGGTCTGTGTCTTTATTCCTGTCTTACCCCTAGGTTCTTCATGACATTTTTTTTCTTAAATTCCATATATATTTGTTAGCATATGGTATTTGTCTTTCTCTTTCTGACTTATTTCACTCTGTATGACAGACTCTAGGTCTATCCACCTCATTACAAATAGCTTCGTTTCTTTTTATGGCTGAGTAATATTCCATTGTATTATTCCATTGTAATATTCCATTGTGCCACATCTTCTTTATCCATTCATCCGATGATGGACACTTAGGTTGTTTCCATCTCTGGGCTATTGTAAATAGAGCTGCAATGAACATTTTGGTACATGACTCTTTTTGAATTATGGTTTTCTCAGGGTATATGCCCAGTAGTGGGATTGCTGGGTCATATGGTAGTTCTAGTTGTAGTTTTTTAAGGAAGCTCCATACTGTTCTCCATAGTGGCTGTACCAATTCACATTCCCACCAGCAGTGCAAGAGTGTTCCCTTTTCTCCACACCCTCTCCAGCATTTATTGTTTCTAGATTTTTTGATGATGGCCATTCTGACTGGTGTGAGATGATATCTAATCTGCCTGGAGGTGTTTCACCAGTAAGTAGGGAGTGCCAAGGTAATTTAGCTGGAAAGAAAATGAAAGCTCAATAATAATTCAATGAGAATGAACTCTCTTAATTCATTAATGAATAATCTTTCATTAATTCAGGTCAACTATCCAGTCATCACTCCTGACTTTTAGCAAGATTGGGAAATAAGAATGTATTGTGTGTTACTCTTTTCTCTACTTACCACAAGGCATAAAAGCCCTTCCCTCTTCTTATCTCCCCTTCAGCCATTCGATCAATCCATATGTTTTGGAGTTCTATTCAAGGCCCTGTGCCCAGTGATGCAACTATCAAGAGCACTGTCTCTGCTCTAACTACACTTCTGATGGGATACAGATAAGCAGACAATCAGAGTGTAAAACTTGCTTTGATGGGGAAAGTAGAATTTACCAAGAAGAGGGCAAGATCCATTCAGTCACTTAGTTATTGTAAACTTACTATGTACAAGAGGCCAGAGACAACATAGGGATCCCAAAGTGAACAGAACTGATGAAGGTCCCTGCCTTCATGGAGCTTACATTCTTGTTGGGGAAAATGGACAAACAACGAATTGCACTATTGTTAAAATCTGATGAATCATTTCAGTTAATCAGGTCCTTAGGTAATGACTGAAAGGAGTCCATTGATTTTGGCATCAAAGGGGTGGTTGGTTACTTTGGAAATATCGATGAGAGCTGTGCAGTGGGGAGGGGGGAGGAAGGGCCACAGTCGACTCTGGAGAGGTTTGGCTTGAGGTGAGGGGGGAATGGTGGCCACCAGATGGAAATGTGTCCTCGTTCAGGACTCCGAGCCTCAGAGAGACCTGAGCATGTTTAAGGTGAGACGAGATTGTTGAGCAGGGGAAGGTAGCAACATTGCAGAAGGAGCAGATCATCAATGGAGCAAGTCCCCTGAGATGACTGGAGGCCAAGAGACCCAGCCATAGGGGAGGGATTTTCCTTAGGAGGGGAAGGGCTAGATTGGCCCAGAGGCGAGTTCCCGCGAGTAGTGGAGGAGAGTAAGGAAGGTCTTATCCGATGGCTTCTCCTTCGTGACGTTGTAGGAGGTGACTGAGGAAGGCGCTAGGAAGGGGTCAAGGTCGGAAGCTTGAGAAAAGTGGGAAAATTTGAAGTTGCTGTGGTGAAACGTGTGTGTATATATATAGTGTGTGTATATATACAGATACACAATTGTATGTATATATGTATGTACTATATATGTAGTCAGTCAATATAATTAGTCAAAAAGTGAACCACTTTAGGCCAATAGACATCACCTTTGCTCTTCAAGAGTTTGCAGTCCTGTAGGTAAGTACGATGAACACATAAAAAGATAAGGCGGCCATGGGTGAAAAACATCAAAATGTTTATATTGAAGATTTAGTTCTATAGGAGCCAGAGTCAGTAAGTTACTTCTGCCTTGACTAAAACGGAGGAAAATTGTGCTGGAGCACAAAAGGTATACCGAAAGGACAGGAAGGAATAATGGGGAGCGAGCAGAAAGGTAACATATACTCAGTTTGTGTTTGACATTGTGCTCGATGCTTTCTATTTAATCTTCACAATAATCCTCAATTTACAGATGAAGAAACTGAGGCTTAGAAAAGCTGGGTATCTTGAGCTAGTCATTTAGACTCTTTTATGCATCAGTTTTCTCACCTGTAACATAGGGCTGATGATAATAACTGGAAAAAATAATTAAAATAATACATATAAAGAGCTTAGCACAACATATGACACAAAGTAAGCACTCAACACACGTGAAGTATTATCATGATTTTTATTGCCACCCAGCCCACACAGCTGGGTGTCCAGACCTTTTTCTATAATGTATTTGGGATGGAGAAACTGCTTTGTACATAAAACCAGATAGGATAAGTCTCATGAAGAGGGCAGTGAACAGCCCAATTTGCCTGGCATGGAGTGAGTAGAGACTGGCAAGGTATTTTGGTTTTTTTAAATTAAAGTACAGTTGATTTGAATTGTTGTGTTAGTTTCTGGTGTACAGCAAAGTGATTCAGTTATATATATATCCTTTTTCATATTCTTTTCTGTTAGAGTTTATTACAAGATATTGAATATTGTTCCTTGTGCTATACGGTAGGACATTGTTGTTTATTTTATATTAGTATTGTATCTGTTAATCCCAAACACCTAATTTATATACCCCCTTTCCCCTTTGGTAACCATAAGTTTTCTAAGTCTGTGGGTCTGCTTCTGTTTTGTAAATAAGTTCATTTGTGTCATATTTTAGATTATCCACATATAAGTGATATCATATGGTATTTATCTTTCTCTGAGTTACTTTGCTTAGTATAACCTCTAGGTCCATCCATGTTGTTGCAAATGGCATTATTTCATTCTTTCTTATGGTTGAATAATATTCCATTGTGTATATATATTTACCACATCTTCTTTATCCATTCATCTGTCAACGGACATGTCTTGGCTATTGTAAGAAGTGCTGCTATGAACATTGGGGTGCACATACCTTTCTGAATTAAGAGTTTTCTCCAGATATATGCCCAGGAGTGGGATTGCTGGATCATATGGTAACTGTTTTAAGTGTTTTTAAGGAATCTCCAGTATGTTTTCCATACTGGCTGCACCAATAACAACGGTGTAGGAGGATTCCCTTTTCTCTTCACCCTCTCTAGTATTTATTATTTATGGACGGTTTTGAACCCAACTGTGGGGAGTGCTGAATGCCAGACTAAATTTTTAAATTTTATCCTATCGACAAGAGGGAGATTTTACAGTGGAAGATTTGAACGCAGGGTTTCCCAATGAAATGCTTTTTAGGGATGGCCAATCTGTGAGCAGTGGAGAGGATGGACCTGGGGAAGGGGGTGAAGTGGGAACCCAACTAGGAAGTGCTCGTGGTGTTTCATGTCTGGGGAATGAGAAATTGAATTATGAGGTGACCACACCTGAAAGTAGCTTCACAGATACCTAACAGGCAGTAGGGACTGAGTGGGGTTTTCCAATACTTTCTAATGCTATGGAGAAATAAAGGAGAATGAGGAATGAGAAAGAACTGCTGGATTTTCACGCAGTTGCTAGCTGGACTACAGGGAGAGAATGGTGAGCAAATGGGGAAACTCATCTGAGAAAGGTAGAAGTGAAAGAAGAAATAAGATTTTGCCCATAGGGAGAAGTGATTCTGTGCTCAGTTCCTACAAAGTGTTAAACCTACTTGCCATTTTGCTAGTTACATGCTCTGGTAATAAAATCAGGCTAATATATATGGTTAGTAGCTAACATTTCATCAGGTGGAGCATGCCACTGACTGTTAGATATCCAGTTATTTTACATACTAAAGAATTTTTTAAATGACCTAATAGAGCCCGGGAATTGCCTAACTAGAGCCCACAGGCCAATTCCAGCCCTGTACAAGCTTTCGTAAGTAGAGTTTAATTGGAACACAGTCATGCCCAGTTCTTTACATATCATCTACGGCTGCCTTGGTGCTATGGTGGCATAGTCGAGCCATTTTGTCAGAGACCTCTGGTCCACAAAACATAAAATCTTCACTGTCTGGCCTTTTACATAAAAAGTTTGCTGACCCTGGCCTAGAGCACAAAGCCCAAGCTCGTTGGCCCATCATGCCAGGTCTTCCCAGCATGCTCCTTGCTGGGTCTCAGCCTCATCTCCTTCCTTTCCAGCTCTCATCCAGACACACTGCACACTGTTTTACCACCTCATACCTGCTCCTTCCCTGTCTGGAGCACTTTTCTGCCTGATGGGCTCCCAGCCACAAACTGCTCAGCACTCATCCCTACTAGGAAGGGGTGTTGCCTTTCCTATGTCTAATTTATCTATCTCTATCCCCTAGAAAGTGCCTAGAACATAGTACTCAGTTTCTGTTAAGATTTTATCAAATAGCCATTTGGCTGGTGAATACAAATGAGTCCACCAGCCACCTATGGTCTTTTTTTTAAATTGGGCTATAGTTGTTTTACAATGTTGTGTTAGTTTCAAGTGTACAGCAAAGTGATTCAGTTATATGTATACATATACCTATTCTTTTTCAAATTCTTTTCCCATTTAGGTTATTACAGAATATTCAGCATAGTTCCCTGTGC